CTGGTTTTGGGACCTGTTCACACTAGGAACTCACTTCATTGTGAGTCTCTGCGTCCCACTCCTTCCTCCTACATCACTTCCTCTCTAACACAGCGACCTAGGCTTAGATCCCCTTCTCATCTGATTTTCTGAATGAGGAGGGTGTGTCCTCTCCATGATGAAGGCTCTCCATTTCCAGAAGAGGTGGAGGTAGTCCAAGGCAGTGATGGAGCACAGAGCAGGAGAAAAGGAACAAACCCAACCTCCCGAGCAATTGTCTGACCGTCCCCGAGGTTGATCATCAGATTAGGCCCTGGGCCTACTCCTCCATCCGTAATGCACCTGGGTGCCAGTTGAGATCTTTTATTTACAAGTAACAGACCTCTGGGGCGCTAGTAAGGTGTACCTGTTACCTTGGATCACAAGGCTTAAGGTAGGGCAGATCTGAGATGGCTTTGGTCAGCAGTCCAGCAGCATCCTTCAGAGCCCAGTACTCCCCATCTCTGAGCCATCTGCAGCTTCATACTTCTCCCGCCTAGGCTACCCTCCACAATCCCAGCAGCCAGAGACAGAAAGAGGGAGGTTTCTCTTTCTGTGACTCTTTCAGAGAATGAAGGACCCGTTGAGCAAGTCAGCAGATTTCTCCTAACATCACATCAGCCCCAGTTCATCATGCAAAACCAACCAACCATCAAAGCAGTGACAGGAGACTGCGATTACTGGGGGGTCAGAGGGAGGGCCAGGCACATGGGAAACCCTGGACCGCCCAGTGCTGAACAAAACTGTTGGCAAGGAAGAGAGGGATCTGGCAGCTGGTACAGATGCTCAACAATGTCTGTCGCCAACCAGGCTTATTTACAGTGGCACTCAAGTTCCCTGGTGTTGAGTGTAGGGAGTCCTGGTGGTGTAAGGGTTATGAGTTGGGCTACAATCTGCAAAGTCAGCAGTTAGAAACCACCAGCTGCTCCGAAGGAGAAAGATGAGGCTTTCTACTCCCGTGATTAGTTACCGTCTTGGAAACGCACAGGGGCAGTTCTACCCTGCCTGTAGAGTCGCTGTGAGTCAACTTCATGACAGTAAGTTCGGTTTTTTGGTTTGGGGCCACTTTCGCGTAAGCATCAGACTGCTAACCACCAAGCCAGCAGTTCAAAACCACCAGCTGCTCTGGGGAAGAAAGTGAGGCTGTCTATTTCTGTAAAGATTAATAGCCTCAGAAACTCTATGTCAAGGTTCACTAGGAGTCAGAATCAACTCGATGGTAGTGTACTTTGGATTTAAGATGTGGCTTGAAATTAATAGAAATATTTCTCAATAATCATAAAAACATCAATATAACCTGGAGATAGAGAAGGCAGAACGTTCATACTTGAGCCAATACCCTGGCTTTAAGAGGAGTGTGCTTTGAAGGAGGTGCGTTCTTGGCTAGATTCCTGTGCACTCAGCGCAGAGGGAGTTTGTTGAGCGCTGATCTAGGAGTTCTAGGTGCAGATGGTCAGCGCTCTCAGCCCTCGTGGAAAAGTTGGAGTCTCAAGTCCACCCAGAGGCCCCTTGGAAGAGAGGCTTGTGGATCTATTTCTGAACAATCAGCCACTGAAAGCCCATGGAGCCCAGGACTCGTTGGGCGCGGACACTGAGGCAGCAGGAATCGCCGTCAGCTTGCCCGGACCTGGTTATCTCAGATGCAGGGGAAGACCCCAAACGGGGAGCTCACCCCGGGCATTAGGGGGCAGGGGGTGGGCCAAGATGCCTCTCCGAGGGTTTTGTCTGCGGAAACAGGTCTTCTTCTGATGAGTTGCTCGCGGAAGCAGAGCTCAGCCAAACATCCAGCACAGAATGGTGTGTGTGCACGTCAGGGTGCTGCTGGGGGAAGAGAAGCTTGCTTCTAAAACCTTCTTTCTGGACACTCGGGTCCTTGTAACTTGGAGGGTTCATTCAGTGAGGTTCTTCCTGCTTCTGCCATTGCCTCCAAAGGGGCTCATGCTAAAAAGCACAGATGTCAAATGGACAGTGTTCACAGCCCCTTATGAAGGGCAAAGGGAGAGGCAGCTGGGTGGTCGAGGGCAAACTTTGGAAGAGCGTCAGCTGGTGTTTGAGCTCTGCCGTCGAGTCAGTTCTGATTCACAGCAGCTCCATGGAACAGACCAGAAGAACTGCCCTGTGAGTTTCCCAGGCTGTAACTGTTTATGGGAGTAGAAAGCCTCGTTCTCCCACACAGCAGCTGGTGGTTTTGAACTACTGACCTTGTGATTTGCAGTGCAGCGTATAACCTTCTAAGCCACCAGGGCTCTTTGTGACTCACAGGGGCTCTATATAACAGAGCATACAACTTCCTCACAAGGTTTTCTAACCTGTAGTCTTTACTGGAATGAGCCCTGGTGGCATAGTGGTTATGCATTGGGCTGCGACCTGCAAGATCCCAAGGTCAAAACCACCACCTGCTCCAGAGAAGACAGACCAGGCTTTCTACTTTCCTTTAGAGTTGAAGTCTCGGAAACCCACAGGGGCAGTTCTACCCCGCCCTGTAGGGTCTCTACTGGAGTAGCTCACCAGCTCTTTTCTTCGGCAAAGCCACTGATGGCTTCAGATTGCTAACCTTCCCATTTGCCCTGAGCACTTCACCAGCGAGCTGCCGGGATTTCCGGTCCAAACCCAAACTCAAACTCACTGCCACCAAGTCCATTCCAACTCATGGGGGCCCTATAGGACAGAGTGAAACTGCCCGTGGGGGTTTCTGAGGCTGTAAATCTTTCTGGAAGCAGAAAGTCTCTTCTTGTCTCTCAGAGCAGCTGGTGGGTTCGAACTCCAACTTTGTAGCTAGCAGCCCAATCCGTAACATAACCCACTCTGCCGCCAAGATTTCCCAAGGAGGAAGTTTACTTGTCAGTCCAGACCTCCCTTAAGCGATGAGCTCTTTTGCTATTGTCCTAACTTGGAAAGCGGACTGGCAGACTGTTGGGAGAGAAAAATAACGAGTGATTGTTGAAGTCACAAATCCTGAGACGGAGTCCAAGGAGCTTCGTCGTCAGAAAGCCCGCTCTCAGGAAATAACGTGGCAGAAATCCACTTAATTTGCCCATGCTGCGAATTAGAAAAGCTCGAGAGTTTGGGTATGTATTCTAAGCCACTCCATTCTACCTGTTGGCCCTGGTTTCCTCCCTTGTAAAATCAGAAGGGCTTGTGGACCATCAGTACTAATAACGCTCCTCTTCCAAGGAGAGGTAGATGGGCTTGGGTACCCTCACCACGTCACTTTGAGAAGGGTGGGGCAATGCTGGTCAATCCTGAGACCACAAAGCAAGGCATGTCCTGCCTGGTTCCAGGGTCCCCTAGCCCCCCTCCCGGTGCTCCAGCTTCACAGGGCACAGAGGAGATGTTACTGGCTGGGAGCCAGTTAGGTGGACTTGTCACTGTCTTGTGTTGCTCCCTTCCTGCAAGAGAAAAGAGCAAGCTAAGCCCTGACATCCACCTGAATAAGGAGTTGAATGATCGTTTTCCTAACGTAATGCCAGTCACAGTCACCAACGGACTGAGGGGGAAAGTCATTCTCCCCTGTGCACCCTGGCTCTTTCCTTCATCACCTCTACCTTTGGGTCACTTCCTTAACCTCTCTGAGTCCTGGCCCTCAGTCACCTGCAAAATAAACACAGTAGTACAGACTGAAGATGATGGTCCCTGAGATAGAGACCAGAGAACATAGAAAACTCAAACCCACTGCCATCAAGCCAGTTCCGACTCGTGGAAACCCTGTAGGACTGAGTAGAACTGCCCTGTAGGGTTTCCCAAGGCTGTCAGTCTTTTCAGAAGCAGACTGCCTCCCTTTCTCTGGAGGAGTTCCCAGTGGGTTAGAACCACCAACCTTTTGGTTAACAGCAGGGCTCCCACAATTATAGACACCCACTTCCTCTAAGCCAGTTCTGACTCAAAGTGGCCCTATAGGCTGAATAGAATTGCCCCTTTGGGTTTCCAATACTTTAAATCTTACAGAAGCAGATAGTCTCATCTTTGCCCCTCAGAGTCACTGGTGGGTTCGAACTGCTGACCTTGAGGCTAGCAGCTCACTGGGAAATCCATTATGCCCCCCCCCCCACCACCACAGGAAGGATTCCATCAATAACAAAGACCATGATTGATTGATGAAAAGATGCTTAGGTTAGAAATTACTTTGCTAATTTAGTTTGAGCAATGGTGTGCATTTTAAGATGACAAGGCAGTATTTATTCAGAAAATACTCCCTAATAGATTCCCCCATGCCATGATTCAGAACTGACTCGCGGATAATGGGTTTGGCTTTGTACTTTATTGAATTCAAATGAATGAGGTTTTTCATCAGACTGATAACCAAATGGAGTTTAGAATTAGGTATCGCACCTCCTCTCTCTACCCAATTCCAAGAGGCTGAAGGGTGGACCTTCCACTGTTGGGAGACTCTAAGAAACATCCCAGTCACACACACACATGTGGAGCCAATCCCAAACGCCACACTGAAGGACCAGGCCTACTGATCCTGCGGAGCCTCTAAAATTGTGGTCCTTGGTCAGTCCTCAGGCCCAGAATGGAATCACCCCCACGGCTCAGCTTTCAGCCAAATAACAGGGTGACTACTCCCTCCCAGGAGGTAGGCACTCCTTAGAACAGCCAGCCCTGCACCATTTGAAAGGGCTGTGTTAGCCTAGGGATAAAACTCAGCCAGCGGGAGAGCAGAGGAAGAATAGGCAGGAAGATTGCTGTTGCCCGAGACACTGCAGAGGCTGCAGTCAGCGAATGCCAAGAAGCAAAAATGTGTCTGAAGTGTTGAATGCAAAACCCGTTCTCCCTGTAAACCTGCACTCAAATCACAATAAAAAGTTAAAAACAATTTTTTTGTTGTTGTTGTTAAACCACCACTACCTCCCAGTCACCAGCCCCTGGGTCCGGTGTTGTGAGAGTCATTTCCTGGCTCAGGGCTCTGAGGTAAGGAAATGGTAGCTTGTCCTGACCTTGAGCCCGTCTTCCATTGAACCTGTCCCTGTCTTTTCCGGCAGGCGGTCAAGCGCTTCTTGAAACAAGAGTGCAAATGTCACGGGGTGAGCGGCTCCTGTACTCTGAGGACGTGCTGGCTGGCCATGGCCGACTTCAGAAAGACGGGCGATTATCTCTGGAGGAAGTACAACGGGGCCATCCAGGTCGTCATGAACCAGGACGGCACCGGTTTCACTGTGGCCAACAAGAGGTTCAAGAAGCCAACGAAAAATGACCTTGTGTACTTTGAGAATTCGCCAGACTACTGTATCAGGGACCGGGATGCAGGTATGTTCCAAACACTTTATTCACAGCGCCCGATTCCCCTAACAGTGAATATGCCATGAGTTAAACAGAGCGCTGCGTTTCAGCCCACGTTTTCTATACTTGGAAGAAACCCTGGTGACATAGTAGTTACAGGTTGGGCTGCTAACTACATGGTCAGCAGTTCGAAACCACCAGCCAGCCCTCTGGAGAAAGACAAGGCTTTCTGTGGAGTAAAGCGTTACTGTCTGAGCAACTCGGAGAGGCAGTTCTACCCTGTCTGGTAGGGGTTTAGAGTCAGAGTCAATGAGAGGGCATGGAGATCTCTCTCACTGCCACCCTAGTGTTCCAAGTTTGTGTTTCTTAATCTTTTTAAAAATATATTTCTATTGGGATATACTCCACATATTATACAATTTTATCAGTCACCTTAATAAGCTTTGTGCAATCAATTTCAGAACATTTTCTTCTTGTACTCCTTGTTTTAGCTCCCCATTCTCACCCTCCGCCTGACCCCCATCCTCCCCTGCCACGCCCCCTAGGTGCCACGCCCTTATGTGCCACGCCCCCAGGTGATGATCCATCCAGTTACTGTCCCTCTAGATCTGTCACAGACTGCTCGCATATCCACCCAGAGAAGCTGGCTGGTGATGCGCAAATGCAAGAGCCATTGGGAGACCAATGAGGAGAGGCTGTGTGCCACAGCCAAAATCTACGGATTAGCAAACATTCTTTAGCCAAGCCCAAATCTTAAGGCTTGGCAAATGGATACTGTGTCACAGCCTCGCTGCTCTCATGAAATCCTGAAGCTTCGAGAAGGATAACTGCCACCCCTACGCTCTAAGATCCCACCTTGGTGACTGGTCGCCTCTTCTGAAACCTGTCCTGGCTACCTACATCCTTGCTCTTTCCCAGATGCTCAGAAGTGGCCAATTACTAAAAAAAGCAAGAATGCCTCCCCGCTGGCTGGTCTGTGAGGAAAGTGGAAGAGGCGCTCGGCTTATTAAGGCTACTCTCTCTCTTTCCCCAACGGCACCTTCCCCGCTTCAAACCCACTCAAAGAGCCCCTCTGCTCGCCTCACACAGCAGCTCTTCCCGCTTGCCTGTCCTCCACTGTTCACTGGGATGCTCCACATGGAACTCTGGGCTTCGCACCTGTCGGGCAGCCTCTGTGTAACATGGGAGGCGATTGGGAGCTCCGAGCTCAGGCTTGAGTCACTCTGGTGCAGCCAACGCCTCAGACTTGGAAAAAAGCAAGGGAGCCCATTGTGAGGCGAAACATCCTCTCCTTCAAATTCTGGGTTGGTTTTTCATTGCACAGTAATTGCAAAGCAATTGAACAGGCGAAGTGGCAGCTGGCTCCTCAATTTAGATGGACTGAGAGGATATCACAAGGAGCCTCTTACTGCCTCTGAGTGGCTCAGCATCCTTCACAGCTTGATGAGATCGTGTACCTGCAAGCCACAGATTAATGAGGACAGAGAACAAAGACTAAGAGTTCAAATGGCCCGAATCTGCCCTCTGCTTCATTCCTGACACGTCTGGGGGCCTTTAACAAGTCATCCTACCTGTCAGGCCAAAATTTGGGCCATGTTGCTTTGATATGCAGGCTCAACCTTCTCACATGCATTAGGTCTGGGGGTGACGATGACTCCTTGACCATGTTAGATACCAGGTAATGATTCTTGTGCTCCAGGTACTTGGGATAAGACTTACCCTTGCACACATGGTTGTATGTAACCCTGAGAACAGCCCTATGACATCCATGGGGATTGGTTACTTGAAGGAAAAAGAAGAAGAAGATGGTTCTGGGTTGATCAACACCAACCAAGAACCAAATTCATGTTTCTCTCTCTTTTTTGAAGTCAGCTAAGATTGCCCTAGATAGTGTCAGGAATATGTTGGTGGGGCAAGTGATCAACCTGTGCTGCTGCTGCTGCTGCTGATCAGTGGGTTGGAAGTTGGAGTTATCCCAACTGCACCACAGAACAAAGGTCTGATTACCTCCATCTGAAAAATCAGCCACTGAAAGTACTGTGGGACACAGTTCTATTCTGACACCCCTGTGGTTGGCATGCATTAGAATTGAATCGATGGTAGCTTTTTAGAAGTTATCATTAGCCCCATTATATGCATGAGACAGCGGATGACTTGGGAAAGATTTCATCTGTAGGAGAATATACAGCTCAGGCTCTCTGACCCCATGGGCTGTGTTCTTGACCCTGATATTTCACACCTGCCCTACCCCTTTCTAGGGACATGCATGTGAAAAAAGGCTTTGTGAAGCAAAAACTTTACTTCAAGTATAAGAGGGCTTGCATCCCAGGACATGTTCACTGGTTCTGGTGGTATAGTGTGCTTCTTGTTGAGCTGCTAACTACAAGGTCAGCAGTTCAAACCTACCAGCTGCTCCTTGGGAAAAAGATGAGGCTGTCTACACCTATAAAGATGGTAAAACCCTAGGAATTCAAAACAGGCATTATGCTCTGTCCTATAAGGTCACTATGAGTCTGAATTGACTCCAGTGGGCAGTGGGTTTTATTTGGAGTAGATTTTGGATTGACAGTTTCCATAGGATTGCAGTTATAGAACATGACCCTGCCTGCATCCAATGTGTCAAACACCCTTTCCTCGAGGAAAGCCCGCTTTAACCCATGCAGATGCCCATCGATTGGCTTCATGCCCATGGATCGACTATGTGACCTGTGGCCTTTTACAGGCAAGCCCTCATCTTGGCAATTTTAATTTTCCACTAGAAAAATGTGCTCTAGCAAATCAGTCAAAACAGTCTCAGGAGTTTGTGGTTATAGAATTATCCCGATGCTGCCTATAAGCTGTCTGCAGAGGCAAGGAGATGTGACAGAGATCCTCCAATTCCAGTGAGACACGAGAAGCACTTCTCCCTAAGCCTCATCTGTGAAGTGACTGTGTGGCCTCAGTGCCAGCACCCTTCCAGTCTACTTCAAAGAACCCCCAGACTGTACATATGCTGCAGGATGACCAGTTGCCACCTGCTGGAGTCATGTTACATTAGGAAGAGCCCACTGCTGTGGTTAGGTGCCCTTGAGTGGGCTCTGACCCATAGCCGCCCTCTGCACAACGGAACAAAACATGGCCCCGGTCAGTGCCGCCTCACAATGGTTCCTAGGCCTCCGGAAGATGGATTGACACAGTGGCCGCATCAAGGGCTCAGGCATAGGAAGAGGGTGCTGTCCGGTAAGTAGAATTCCCATACGGGTATCCGGACTCTGAAACAAGAAAAAAAAATTGCGGTAAAATCTAAACTGAATACTGTCTCATTTCTTTGATCTTTTCTGTTAAGATTGGTGTGAACCTTGCTTCCCAGACTCATGTTTCATGCCACACAGCCTGCTGTGCTGTGGCCCTTTGGTTTGTTCTCCCTATTGTGCGTGCAGACCGTCCGTGTATCGGGTCACTTCCACTTGGGAGCACTGGAGAGGCAACGGCCGTGAGCAGGGTGAACACATTCCAGTCGTCGATTTGGGGAAGTGAATTTCTATTCTTGCTAGCCAGCAACAGCTTCAGGATCACGTGAACTCTACTGGGATTTGACTAAGTGAGCCGGCTGGTTGTATGGCTGCGGTTTTTGTGAGTGGGTAAAGTCCAGCCCATTGGTTCCCGAAGGAAGGGCCCCTTCGGAGACTTGGTGAGCCAGAGTCTTGAGGTATTGTTTTCAGATACACTTTTCAAGCTTAGGCACATTGAAAAAAGCTCATAGCTCCTGATTCCTGATGGTCCCTAAAACCCAAAGCCAAACTTGAAACCATCAAGTCAATGCTGATGCACAGGGATCCTATAGGATCGGACGGAACTGTCCCTGTAAGACCCTGTAAGACGGCACCTTATTACAGGAGTAGAAAGCTCGTCTTTCTCCCCTGGAGTGGCTGGTGGTTTCAAACTGCTGACCTTGCCAATCACAGCCCAATGGTTAACCGCTATGCCACCAGGGCACTTCATTTCCCCCTCAGGATTCGAGGAAAATAAATCTAGGGAAACTTTCCTTTTCTCTCTTACTCTAGGGTTCTTTTGCAGTAGTACTGATCTCTTACAAAGGAGGACCAAAGTTCGTGATTGGAAGCATTGTAGAGACATGTCAGCCAATAGAGATCTATCCCCGCCTTTGCCTTGCTCAGGGTGATGGTGTCATCCTGTTACGTTGGGCCATGCGCCTCCCTCTTTTAATGTGTGGACGAACACACTGAACTGATTTCAGCCATCAAAGGGTTCTCTGGAATTGGCTTGAAAGAGATTACCAAGCCATCCCTCTAGTGACGTCTTGAAATAGTGACGCCAAGACCAGCAACTTTCGATGAGAAAGATGGCACGAGTGTGAGTCAAAGGGAGTCCCGGGGGAGGGGAAGGTTCCTAGCTGGGGAAGGGGGTGGGGAGGTTGGGTGAGCCTCTTTAAGAGTCAGGTACTACACACGTCGTGAGTCTCCATAGTTACTTAACCCTCCTGAGTGTCCTCTAAATAAACAAACAGGCAAACTATGCATTTAAGAAAATAATAATAAAGCAAAAATTCTTTCTCATGCTACCATTTTCCCTCTGGAAATTGGGTGTGGTTGTGGCGGTGATAGTGCTGGTGGTGGTGTGGGGGTCATGCTCGATGGAGCGGGCAGGTCCCGTGTCACAAACAGGCAGCGCGAGGACATGGGCACTGGATGGGATTAGGCCCCACAAAGACATGGCACGTAGGACGTGATCAGAATCAAGCCTCATCTATTTTAGTTGAGGTTGACTTTACAGATAGAAGGCTTTCTGGTTTTCAAGAGTGCTCTCACTGCCGTCTGGTTGATTCTGACTCCCAGCCACCCTAGGGGACAGGGTAGAACTGCCCTCTGTGGGTTTCTGAGACTGTACCTGTTCACTTCCATCTTTCTCCAGTGGAGCGGCTGGTGGTTTCGAACTGCACACCTTGAGGCTCAGAGCCCAACTCGTGTAACCACTATGCAACCAGGACTCTGTCCTTAATTGCTTCTAAAATCTGGTAAACTGAAAAG